TGATTCCATTGTACGTCCGCACAATGGAACACCTCGTGGCTGGATACAAGGAGGAACTCTTGCCCTGTGGGACAGCATGGATAAACCTGTACGATCTTCTGCTCAGCAAAACAAGCCAGCCAGAGAACACATACCACAGAATTTCACTTTCATGGAAATTCACAAGCAACGACAACAAACACAAAACAAAAACAGACAGACAAAGCAGAACCAGGTTTTCTCAAGATGGCTCTGGAGTAGGTGGATCTTGTGTCCACACCCCCCCCCCGCCCTCATAGAACCAAACTGGGATTTTATTTATTTATTTATTTATTTATTATTTATTATTTTTTTTTAGATTTTATTTATTTATCTTTAGAGGGAAAGGGAAGGAGAGAGGGAGAGAAACATCAATGTATGGCTGCCTTTCGTGCGTCCCCTGCTGGGAGTTGGCCTGCAGGGAACTGGCCTGCAACCCAGGAATGTGCCCTGACTGGGAATCGAACCACGATTTTCTGGTTCGCAGGCCCGTGCTCAATCCACTGAGCTACACCAGCCAGGGCTTATTTATTTATTAAAAAATTTAAAAAAAATTTTATTTAGTTATTTTTCAAGTACAGTTTTTTGCCTGTTTCTCTCATCCCAGCCCCCCCACCCCGTGCTCCCCACCTCCCTCCCATTTTCATTCCCCCTTAGTTCTCGTCCCTGTGTCCTTCATATTTGTTCCTCCAAATCCCTCCCCTTTTCCCCCCTTAAATTCCCTCCCCTCTCCCCTCTGATCACTGTCCCCTTGTTCTCTATTTCAGTGTCTTGGTTTTTATTCTGCTTGCTTGTTCGTTTTGTTGTTTAGCTTCCTGTTAAAGGTGTGATCATATGGTATTTGTCTTTCAGCACCTGGCCTATTTCACTCAGCATAATGCTTTCCAGTTCCATCCATGTTGTTGCAAAAGGTAGTAGTGCCTTCTTTCTCTCTGCTGCATAGAATTCCATTGTGTATATGTACCACAATTTTAATTCTTTACTTCATTTTTACATATAGGTCGATATATGGTCACAATACCTTTGTTGCCATATGTAGTTTTTCTTTTTTCTGTTTCTGTTTTTCTTCATTGTCCTGCATTGTGATCAGCGCCCACGCAACAGCCAGCATGCAGTAATCACACTGCCAGCCAGAGGGCGCCCCAAACCCAAACAAGAAAGGCTCCTAGAGCACACCCAGCTCTGGACATCAGGGAGGCTGAATTACTGAGTCCCACAGGTCACCTCTGACTCATGTCAGTCCACCCCACAAGCACTGGGAGTCCTAGTAGATTTATGTAAAGCAAAAACAAACAAACAAACAAAAACAACCCCCCAAAACCCAACCAAACCCCAAAATAAACCAAACCAAAAAACAAAACACAGCGAGACAGCCAAAATGGGAAGAAAAAGAAATGCCAGCTCTTGTTTGTTGATTGATCTTTTAATATAATTTTTATTTAATTACTGTTCAAGTACAGTTTTCTGTCTTTTACTACCATCCCAGCCCACCCCCCACCGTGCTCTCCACCTCCCTCCCATTTCCACCCTCCCTTAGTTGTTGTCCAGGCATCCTTTATACTAGTTCCTGTAAATCCTCCCCCTTTTCCCCTGAAATCCCCTCCCTTGTCCCCTCTGGTCACTGTCCCCTTGTTCTCTATTTCAGTGTCTTGGTTTTTATTTTGCTTGCTTGTTTGTTTTGTTGTTTACCTTTCTGTTAAAGCTGAGATCATATGGTATTTGTCTTTTAACACCTGGCTGATTTCACTCAGCATAACGCTTTCCAGTTCCATCCAAGCTGTTGCAAAGGGTAGGAGCTCCTTCTTTCTTTCTGCTGCATGGAATTCCATTGTGTATATGTACCACAATTTTTTGATCCATTCATTTACTGATGGGCATCTTGGTTGCTTCCAGCTCTTGGCTATTGTATATTGTGCCGCTATGAACATTGGGGTGCATAGGTTCTTTTGGATCGGTGTTTTAGGGTTCTTAGGATATAATCCAAGCAGTGGAATTGCTGGGTCAAAAGGCAGGTCCATTTTTATTTTTCTGAGAAAATTCCATACTGTTTTCCACAGTGGTTGTACCAGTCTGCAATCTCACCAACATGTTTGTTGATTTATTGATGGCGACCATTCTGGTAGGTGTGAGGTGATACCTCACTGCAGTTTTAATTTGCACCTCTCTGATTTCTAATATATTGGCATCAAATTTTTCCCAGTGTTCTGCTTTGATAGCTTTCAAGCCTCTACGAGGTGTCTTGCTGTCTGCCCCTCACCTTTAATATAAGAACTGTGTGCGTTCTTCCATATTGCCGTAGTCTTTGAAGCTGTGATTTAAAAAATTTTTTTAAGGATTTTATTTATTTATCTTTAGAGGGGAAGGGAAGGAGAGAAGGAGAGAAATATCAATGTATGGTTGACTCTCGTGAGTCCCCTGCTGGGAACTGGCCTGCAACCCAGGCATGTGCCCTGACTGGGAATCGAACCATGATTGTGTGGTTTGCAGGCCCATGCTCAGTCCACTGAGCTACACCAGCCAGGGCTGAAGCTGTGATTTTTAAATTGTGATTCTATTATAGTTGTCCCAACTTTTCCCCCTTTGCCCTCCTCCCCATCTCACCTTCTGCTCCCACACTGTGATTCATGTTTTCAACACTGAAGTTTTGACTTTGTCTCTTTCTGTCTGTGTTTGTTTGTCCACAACAGTGACTTCCTCTGTCTTCATCGTTTCCCTCCTTACACTTTCACTTAGAAAAAGTTTTCTGTCCTTTTACCATTATTTTGAGGAATTAAAAATATCATTTTTTAAAAGATTTTTAAATTGTTATTCTATTTTTAAAACTCTCATTTTATTATTATTATTATTATTATTATTATTATTATTATTTTGCTCCAGTGTGTATTTCTTTTTAAGTTGACTTTATTGGGGTGACATTGGTTAATAACATTCTATCTGTTTCAGGGGTTATTACTGTAAGTACATCCTCTGTATGTTGTATTGTGTGTTCCCCACCCCAGGTGAAGTCTCCTTCCATCTCCATTTATCCCCCCTTTACTCTCTTCTATGTACGCCAACCCCCTCTCCCTCTTGCAACCACCATGCTGTTGTCTCTATCTCTGAGTTGTTTTTTCTCTGCTTAATTCATTTACCTTCTTCACCAGCCCCCCACCCCTCTCCTCTGACAGTGGTCAGTCTGTGTTCTACTTTGCACCCATGAATCTGTTTCTATTTTGTTAGTGTATTTTGTTCATTAGATTCCACCTATAAGCCAAATCATATGGCATTTATCTTTCTGTGACTGATGTATCTCCCCATGGAGTACTGCTCAGCCATAAAATTGTAGACATGTTTCCCTTGGTTGCAGCATGGAAGGACCTGGAGGACGCAAATTACTTTTCATTGAATACCGTTACTAAAGTGTAGTGGACGTGCAACATTGTATTAGTGACTTTCTATTTGTGAATCTCACGATGCGCTCCCCACACTAAGTCCAGCAGCCACATGTCTCGTGCAAAGTCGCCACACATGACTGACTATGTTCCTATGCATAGGAACATCATTTCTTCAGGTCTGTGGCTCTGCTTTTGTTTTGTTTGTTTTGATGATGTTAAACAGTCCACATAGAAATGAAATCTTTCTTTGTCTGACTTGTGTCACTCACCACAATACCCTCTAGGGTCATCCAGGTTGCCACAAATAGAAGGACTGTATCAATCGCTTCTGATGGCAGATTTACATCACATTGTACATACGTGCCACATCATTCTATCCAGTCACCAGTGGTTCTAACAATTCCATGCAATCTCTTTTTAAATTCTTGATACAATAGCACAGGCCAGTAACTTTTAAAAGCTTTTATTTTCTAGTACATTCATGGTTTTTACTTTTCTCATTTCACAGGATTTGTGTGTAATATTTACATGATCATTTAATCTAATGCATTCATTTCTTTCTTGGTTCACATATTAAGATACTTGGAAGTCTATTTGCTTTATTTAAAAACTGTGGGGATACTCCAGATGGAGGCATAGGTGGAAACACTGTATCTCCTTGTACAATCAAATTTAAGGAAAACAAAGATTTAGGAACAAAAACACAACCAAACAGACAGAAAATTGAACTGTATCAAAGTCTGACAACAACAAACCATTCATCCAGATTGGTAAGAGGGACAGAGTCAGCGGCTGGTGGAGAGGGGTCCCAGCAGGAAGAGGCAGTGGTTAGCAGACCGGGGTACAGGCGAGCAAACCCAGTGAGGTGCCAAGGCAGTTGGCTGACCAGGAACACACATTTGTGTGCAGATTAACCAGGCAAAAAATGGGCAGTGAGACAAACTGCGCAACCCAGGGCCCCAGCACCAGGAAATAAAGCCTAAAAGCACTGACTTTTAGGAGTTTTCAGGGGTTGAGGTGCCAGAAGAGACTCTTAGCCTCACAGGAGAGTTTGTTGGAGAGACCCACAGGGTCCTAAAACACACACAAGCCCACCCACCTGGGAGCCAGTGCCAGAAGGGCCCAATTCGCTTGTGGGAAGTGGCAGAGGGGACCCAAACCAGAGAGAGCAGAGCAAGCACCATTGTTTCCTCTCTGACCCCGCCCCCACATACAGCATCACAACCCAGTGACTTGGGTTGCCCCACCCTGGTGAACACCTAAGGCTCTGCCCCTCATACATAACAGGCGAAACCTGACCAAAGATGGCTCCATCAGAAGAACAAATCAAAGCCCCAGAGTCAGTACTTCTAAGCGACCAAGAGATAGCCAACCTATCAGATGCACAGTTCAAAACACTGAGGATCAGGATGCTCACAGAACTGGTTGATTTTGGTCGCAAATTAGATGAAAAAATGAAGGCTACACTAAGTGAAATGAAGGAAAATGCACAGGGAACCAATAGTGATGAAAAAAAAACAACTGGAACTCAAATCAATGGAGTGGATCAGAAGAAAGAAAGAAAGAAAGAAAGAAAGAAAGAAAGAAAGAAAGAAAGAAAGAAAGAAAGAAAGAAAGAAAGACCAAACAGAAAAGAATAAAGAAACAAGAATTCAAAAAAATGAGAGAGGCTTAGGAACCTCCAGGACATCCTTAAACCTTCCAATATCCAAATTATAGTGGTACCAGAAGGGGAAGAGGATGAGGAAGAGGAAGAGCAACAAGTGAAAAACTCATTTGAACAAATAATAAAGGAGAACTTCCCCAATCTGGCAAAGGAAATAGACTTCCAGGAAATCCAGGAAGCTCAGAGTCCCAAAAAAGTTGGACCCAAGAAGGAATACACCAAAGCACATCATCATTACATTACCCAAGATTAAAATGAAGGAGAGAATCCTAGAAGCAGCAAGAGATAAGGAGGCAGTTATCTATAAGGAAGTTCCCATCAGACTGTCAGCTGATTTCTCAAAAAAAGACCTTGCAGGCAAGAAGGGGCTGGAAAGAGGTATTCCAAGTCATGAAATCCAAAGACCTACATCCAAGATTGCTTTATCCAGCAAAGCTTTCATTTAGAATGGAAAGGCAGATAAAGTGCTTCTCAGATAAGGTCAAGTTCAAAAAGTTCATCACCAAGCCCTTACTATATGAAATGTTAAAGGGACTTATCTAAGAAAAAGGAGTTTAAAAATGTGAACAGTGAAAGGCCAGCAAACTCACAGTTATTAACAACCACACCTAAAACAAAAGCAAACTAAGCAGACAGCTAGATCAGGAGCAGAACCATAGAAATGAAGATCACATGGAGGGTTAGCAACCGGGGAGTGGAAGGAGGAGAAGGGGGGAAAAGGTACAGAAGCAAAGTACCATAGGTGGTAGGGAGAAAATAGACAGGGGGAGGGCAAGAGTAGTGTGGGAAGTGCAGAAGCTAAAGAACTTATGATACATGGACATGAATTAAAAGGGAGAATGTGGGGGGAGGGGAAGTGCAGGGTAGAGGGGAATAAAGGGGTGGAAATGGGACAACTGTAATGGTATAATCAATGAAATATATTAATAAACAAACAAACAAATGGGGATACTGGTTATCACTGAGTATAGAATCAGGGTACTCCTAGAGGGCCCCAGGAGCTACTGGGGGTCCATATCAGGTCCCCAGGCTGACTGAGGTCAGTAGCTGAAAATCTCTGGGGGCAGATCTGTACCTTTTGAGGTCCCTGCAGGCTCCCTCCCTGGAGTTTGGGGTCTTGGTCTTTCCTGGGCTAGTAGATGGCCAGAGCAGTGTACACACTGGGCTTATCAGGGGGGTTCTCTGATGGGGAAGAAGGGAGTGCATTGGTCTCCCGTCTGAGGGCCAGGTGGTTCAGCTGGGCGTAGGTCACATCCTCAGGTACAACAGGTGCAGCAGCCTGGAGCAGGGGGACAGTGAGAGGGGTGAAATGGGGCTGGGGAAGCCTGTTCTCCCCCTTCACCACCCACTCCACCCCCTGGACTTGCTTTTTCTCCTTCACAGCACTTGGCTCTCCAGGATGCCATCTGCCTGTTTGCAGGTGTCTCCCTCACCCACAGGTGAGCTCGAGGAGGGTGGGGACAGGTTGCTCAGGGTGGCACCGCAGCACCAACATGGAGCTGGGAACCAGTGAGCTCCTGTCACGGCTGCTGCATGAATGAGTGATGGGACCCTGGGACTTGCAGGTCATTCATTCAGTCATTCATGCCTCCTCCTGAGACTTGGGGCTGCACAAGGTCAGATAGAGAGTAAGGGGCCAGCACAGGGGACCACACAGGAGGGGTCATAAGGTCACAGGAAAGTGGGAGGTTTGAGGCACAGTTGGCCGACCTGGTGCTCGGAAGGACAGGTCAGTGTGGATGCTGCTGAGAACCAGGGAGGGTGAGGACAGAGAAGTGACCACTGCAGTGAACTGGGGAACAGGAAGGTCATTGGTGGCCTGGACGGGAGCAGGGGTCTCACCTGAGGGTCCAGCTCTATGCTCTCCCCAGGATGAGGGTCCTTCATGGCAGCATCTGCAGGGGAAGAACAGGGTGTGTCTCTGGGTAGGATCCCCAAGATCTCAGGGCTGCAGACCTGCCTGGTCCCAGACAGACCACTAACTCAGGGGTGAGGTGAGGGGCCAGGTCACTCTATGGATTTAAATCTTCCTCAACCCTGACTCTACACCCTGTACACTCTCCCCTCCCCCATCACCTTCTGAAATCCCTGACTCCCCTTCCCCTGAGTGGCTGTCCCTTCTTCTCACAGAGGGGCTCTTCCTGGGCTCCTGCAGCTGGGCTGGGGGACAGACAGTCTCAGTCCCGGAAGGTTAGAATCCCCCTCCTTATGTGATTCCAGAGGAAAGAAGGAAACTTTACCACATGCTTGTGCATATTTTCATATGTTAGGAGACTTAAAATGATAAAAAATTAACTTACATTTATTTGTAAACCTGTGCTGACATTGTGTTTTCCTCCTGGAATTTCTGATTTCAGATTCTAGAGATATCTGTTTCTCAGCTGACCTTTCCCATCTATTTATTTTCCTGCAGCAGGTGCTCTGAGCCCCTCTCTCCTGTGACCCAGGTCACCCTGTTCCCTACTCACCTGATGTCTTGCCTTTGCTCTGACGCCGGTGTTGGAAGAGGAGGAAGAGGAGAAGGGAGAACAGCAGGACGAGGGCCACCAAGACCCCAGTCAACATGTTCAGGGGCCATTGTAGACCTTGGTCAGGAGTAACATCATGAATGGGCCAAAGGTGCTCTTTAATGAACACCTGCTGTTTATAAGGCACAGGATGGGGTCTGTCGTTCATCTCCTCTGACCTCACAGCCCTCGTGAACCAGGGATGGCTGACCCACTGACCAGTCCACTGCAGCTCAGAGAGGTTATGTGCCCCAAGTCATCCACCCTGGCAGGTCTGGGCTGAGACTGGACCCTGGGAAGTGGGTTCTCTGTACTATCCTCCCGCTGCCCCCGGCTGGACACCAGCTCCGAGCTCTGGGCTCCTCACCTCCAGGGGTCCTGTCTTGTCTCACTTGGAGCTTAGGTCCCTCCCTTATTACCTGGAAAGCATTTCAGGGGCATGTGCAGCACAAGAATGTGGGGTGAACCCTGATGGCCCCTTGGGAAGGTTGGGTTGGGCTAGGGCTCTGGCTTCCTGAGCTCTGTAAGGCATTATAGCTCACCTAATGCCATCCCAGGCTTGTGAGCAGGAAAGGACCAGGGATGATAGATCAGAACCCAACATTCAGAGAAGAGAAGGGACCTCGGGTTCCACAGCACCAGAGCTGGGACCTGAACCAGGACACACTGCTTCCCCACAAAGACCTTCACTTACTGCTCTGCTGTTCTGGCTCTGTGAGGGGAGCTTCTCGATACTCAGAGAATTTTGAAAATTCAGGAGGTTTTGAGGGGTGGGGGCTGCCTGCTCCCCACTTCATCTGGGCTGCTCCTTCCCCAGCCTGGACCCAACATGTCCCTCTGCCATGCTCTCCCCTCCTGTCACCTGTCAGCCCCAGAGCCCTGGAAACCCTGTGGTTTCAGCATCTCTGCCTGACTCTCAGCCCCTGGTACATAAGCTCATTCATGTGTGAGGGGAGTACGTGACCCCCTGATGGACTCTCAGAACTTCCTGGGGTTGTTCTGTGCTCCCTCTGAGCAGACTTCTCAGGGACTCACCAGCTGTGGAGATGGGCCCTGTGGGCGGGGGTAGAGAGCCTCCAATGGGTCCTGGAAATGAAGATAGAAGGGGGTGAGGGTCTGTGACCAAATGGGGAGTAAGTAGATCACCCAGATTCTTCTGCTACATCTGCTCTGTGGCCCCTAAGACACTCCTTCTGCCCACCTACCACCTCCCTGACCCAGGTAAGGGGAAGAGATGAGCAGGACTGGGAGGGTCTCTGGGGGCAGATCTCTGCTGGGTGACCAACTCCCAGAGTTACTAAATCTCATCCAACTTCAGATGTCTCCTGGGGACAGGGCCCTGAGCTGACTATCCTCAGAGAGGATGGGGTCAGGGGCTCTTACCTGAGATGCAAAGCTCCAGGGGGTCACTGGGCTCAGACCACTCATTGGGATACTTTCTAAAATATCCATAGCATCTGAATGTCCACTTGTGGCTGGAGTTTATGGGGCCCACAGTGAACAGGGCCTGGACCTGCCCACTGAGGTTTGATTGTGTGTCCAGGGTCCAGGAGATGTTGTCTTCTCCTTCCTTAGTCAGAATGAACCTCTCAAATCCCTCCCATGAGTCACACTGGAGGGTCACATTCCCTCCTGAGGTCACAACAGGGCTGGGCAGGGCTGAGAGCCTGGGTTTTCTGTAGAATCCTAGGAGAGAAGGAGGCAGTGTGTAAAATGGGGCTCACACCTCCCTTACCTCCCCCAAGGCTGAGCTGTAAGGGGGAGACACTCTGTGACATCCCCCTTTCTGAGGGCAGATCCTGGGGCTGGGACCCCTGAGTGTCCTCTCACCTGTCACCACCAGCTCCAGAGTGTCACTGTGCTCTGAGCAGCCTACAGGGCTGAGGTATTTACAATAATATGTCCCTGCATAAATGTCTTTCATGAAAAACTTGGCCTTGTCCCTGGGCTCCAGTGGTTTCTGTGTGTCCAAAGGTGTATTCATTTGTTCATCATACAGAGAGTACTCCTGGGCATCCAGGGTCCCCTGACACCAGATAGTCACAGAGCTCCCATGAGGGATCACAGGTCCTGGCTCAGCCCAGATGGTGGGTCTGGGGAGAATCCCTGGAAAGAATCAGAAGCTGCATTAGACAGACCTTCCCTGCCCCTCATTCCCCAGCTCAGCCCATGTCCCCCCTCTTCTAACCCAGGACCTCTTGCTCCCTTCTGAGCCCCAAGGGAAAAGTAGAAGGTGGAACACGGAGGTTGGGGAGGACTCACCATTCTGCTCACAGGTTTTCTGGCCCAGACTCAGCCCTGAAAGAGAGTCCTTGTCAGATTTGCACCCGGATGTCTGAGCTGATTCCCTTAACTTGGGGACTTATCTGCTTCCACTGTGCGAGCCTGAGGGTCCCCATGAACAAGCATGTGCAGCTGCCTCATCCCCTCCTGCTGCCTCATCCCCATGCCCCACAACTGACCAAGGCAGAGAAGAGCAGGGAGAATGGACATGGTGCCGTCTGCTCTGAGGGCTCCTGCTGTTCTGGTGGACGAGACCCTGGGCCTGGAGGACAGAGATGCACAGGATGTGGTGAGTCAGGGGCTGCTGCCACCCTTCTGGGTTCCCACCCCTGTGGACCCACAGCAAAGGGATGGCTCCGCCCTGGGCCTGGCTCTGGGTTTTTCCATGACGGCAGCTCCGGAGGACTCCTTGTCCTCTGGAGATGCTCAGCCCAGATTTTGGGTCTCTTCTCCCTGCCAGGACCCTCTACCTGGTCTGTGCTTCTGTCAGAGAGGGCAAGACCCAGCCTCTGGCCCTCAGCCCACCTTCCACAGGCTGACTCTACATAGAACTCGCTATCGATTTTCTCAGCCTCCCCAAACAGCATTTACTTTTCATCTCTGATTTGTCCACAGACAAATATTTACTAGTCAGCTAGTGCAGCCAAATACTTGTGTCAGAACCAGAAATACATCTGTAATCCAGGAGACTGACTTTCTGTGTCTTGAGAACTCTGTTTAGCAGAAAATGAGCATCCTAATTTAAAAGTGGAAATGACTTTACTTATAAAGGAAAAATGAGAAAAATATGAGAATGCCTGGGGCCATGAGTAGACTATGTTTGAGAGAATAGCTGTGTTTCTTTTATCCTCATCAAAGATTATGTTTGTTGATTTTATAAGATGAGGAAGGGTGAGACAGACAAACACATTGATTGGTTGCCTCCTATACACATCCAGGCTGGGGATCAAACTCACAACCTTTTGGTGTATTGGACAACACTCCAAGCAAGTAAGCCACCTGGGCCAGGGCTGAGGGAAGGGCTGTTAGTTGAGGTGGAACCCCAGGAGGTGGGAGTGAGAATACTCTGGAGAGGAAAGAATATCATAGGGAACTCTAGAGACAGAGACTGTCTGATAGCAGAAAGGGAGGGTGAGGTGGAGGTTTTTCATGGTCATGGTTTCTCCACTCAAAGATGTTGGATTAAGTGTGTGAGGCTGAGGAATATGTAGGGATGAACTGTTATAGTCACACTGGGTTATGAATCTCATATGTGCCATGTGTCACAGAGGAACTAGAGCAGTGAAATGTGTGTCAGTGATGTGTAATGTGAACAGTAATTGAACTTCAGCCCTGTGTGTCCAACAGTATTAGATGAAAGGCTTCCATGGATTCACCACACAATTCATGCATATATTTTAGCTCTTAGGACACATGTAGAGCAGAGAAATGAGGAGAAGAAATCTCAGTGTTGCTTCTAATCCTGTGCTTTTAGCTGGGGGCTGGGGAAGGAATTTGCTAGCTCTACAGGACTCTAAGAAAGCAGAGGAGGAGAACAGATAGTCCATTGGAGATAATGTGAGTGTGTCTGTGTGTAAGTATTAATGTCTGTGAGTGTATTTGTGTGAGTGCATGTCAGTGTGAGTATGTGTGTGTGTATGCAGTGAATGAGTGTATGTGGGTGGGATGTGGTTGTCACATTCAGATGGCCATGAGTAACCATGACTTCAGAAGAAACTCTCAATATACCTTAAACTCAGTGAGGAGAATGAAGGGCTTTTAGGCAGAAATGGACAGATTCTGAAGGAAAGTTGGAACTGGTGTAGATAGTACACAAAGAGGAAGAGAGTGAGGACTTAGAGCTCAGAACCCAGGCAGGTGTCGGTGTGACTGCTGCCTTGGGGATGAGAAGGGTGACCTACCCTCTCTGCCTCCCCATTGACTGCAGATCCCAAGGAGCCCTCATGACAGTGAGACAAGAGGAGGGGCAGGGATGAGCCTGAGGTTGGTGCAAACACTCTGCTCCTGCAGGAGAGCTCAGTGCTCCCTCCTGGCCCTGGAATGCAGGGGTTGTGTCTCACACTCTTTCCACCTGACTCTGTCTCTGTGACACATGGGTTCTTTCTCTCCCCTTCTCTGTGGGGTGAATCCTTTGAGTAACTTTTGCCTCCTCTGAGCAACTCTGACTCTGGAGGTTACTCTCCTCTTCAACTGTGGAGACTCTTGAGAATTCAGAAAAGATTGTCATTCATGGGAGCTCTGTTCAAGGCAGAAAAACACCTACACACTTTAATTGTCAGTTGTTGCAATACCACATCCTGAATGGCTGAAGGACCCTGGAGCAGCCTGCTTCCTCTGTTGCTCTCACTTCCATCATTCAGAGCCCCATGATACTAACCCCACCCCCACACATGTGGTCAGAATTCATCCTACTTGAGATATAGGGGGAAAGGGAACCAGACATTCAGATTTGGGTGAAGATGTTGGAGGTTTGTGAAACTGAAAAGCAGAGGTACTTTGTCCAATGGGGCAGAGAGAGGGATCAGACTCAGACCACAGTGCAGGGTCACTCGATCACAACAGAGAATCTTACAGTGCAGTGGGCAGATCCTGATCTTTCTGTCAGGAGTGCCGGGACAGCTGGGGGAGTCTGTGAGACAGGTGAACTTCACACTTGCCTCACTCCATACAGAAAATCAGTGCCAGATGCATTACAGACTGAAGAATAAATCAATTACTTTTCCCTTAGCAAAAAATCTTTTCTTCTTTGTGGCATGTTTTTTAAAAATGACTTTTTATTGTTATTCTAGTACAGTTTTCCCAATTTCCTTCTTCCCCTGTGTTGCCCATCCCATTCCCCACTATCAGAGTGAATTTGTATGCTGTTGTCCAAGTCTGTGGGTCATTCATACATGTTCTTTGACTAGTTTCTCCCCCTTTTTTCACTATTACCCCCCTCTCTTATCCCCTTTGTTCACTCTCAGTCTGTTCATTGTTTCCACGCTTGTGGTTCTATTTTCTTTATTAGTTTATTTTGTTCATTAGATTGCTCTTATAGGTGAGATCATATCTGTTTGTCTCTCACTGACTACCTTATTTCACTTAGCATCATATCCTCCAGCTCCATGCATGCTGTTGTGAAAGGCAGGAGTTCTTTCTCTCTTACTGTTGCATAGTGTTTCATTGCATAAATATTCCACAATTATTTTATCCACTCATTTTCTGCTGAGTATGTGGGCTATTTCCAGCACTTGGCTACTGTAAATAGTGCTGCAATGAAGATAGGGGTACATAATTTCTTTGGAATTAGTGAATCAGGATTCCTAGATGTATTCCCGTGAGACTGGGGTGTGGGAATTGTGGCAGAGGGAAAAGAGAGATAATTGAAAAAAACCGGAAGGAAATACAAAGAAAAAGTTACACACACACACACACACAGAGCCAGGAGTTGTGTAGATGCGGGGTGGAGCTGTCCACCACCCAGTGCTGAAATCTCCACCACCTCCTCGGATTCACATTCAAAATAAGACAGAATCAGGGGAGACATAGGTGGCCCCATGGTTTTGAGGAAAGCCTCCTCCATACACGTGCATATTCCTGGTCAAGGCTGGACTCGGTCTTGGTGGGCACAACCTCTGGACAGTAGATGAGCCATCCTCACTCGGGGATTCTGTGATGACTTTTGTGGATTTACTTTGCAGTATCAGGTTTGTGCGGTTCTTACTTTAGGCAAAAGGGGAAAGTCAGTGAACATTTTTATAGCAGAACTTTGGATGATTTTGTTTTTCAGTTGTTAAAGTAAAGCTGAAGAGAGAAAAATCACAGGATGTGGTGGGCAGGTTCCCCACACCCCAGTGTGCACTGTGCAAGGGGCCTGCCACACAGGAAGAGGACCAACTCTTCTCACCCTAAAAATAGCAGGTGCTGAGGGACTGACCTGAGCCACACCACTCAACACCCTTCGTGTCTAAGCTGTGACATTTAGTTTTCCTAAAGTCTGTAATCATAGGAGGGTTTTGACCGAGCTAGTTGTTATCGCAAAATCATAACTGTCATTCAGTTTATAACATTCAATGTTCCCTGGGAAAGCTAATACAAAAAATGGTTAATAATATAAAATTATTTTCTAGAGAAATACGATTCTCTCATCTAATATTGATTAGGTCTAGTACCATTTACATAATTTGTAGTCTGCTACAGAAAGAAAGCAGTTATCTGGGGAGTTTAACTTTGCATTTTTAGAAGAGAAGAAAACTTGCAAAGTCTTGTTTTAGCTGAACTTATTTGTAATGTATGAGTAAAAACCAAGTTTCTTATTTTTCTACTGGGGGGGAAGAGAGAGAGAGAGAGAGAGAGAAGAAGAAGAAGAAGAAGAAGAAGAAGAAGAAGAAGAAGAAGAAGAAGAAGAAGGAGGAGGAGGAGGAGGAGGAGGAGGAGGAAGGAGGAAGGAGGAAGGAGGAAGGAGGAAGGAGGAAGGAGGAAGGAGGAAGGAGGAAGGAGGAAGGAGGAAGGAGGAAAGGGAAAGGAAGGGAAGGGAAAGGAAAGAAAAGGAAGTAAAAAGAAGAAGAGGGATCTTGGTAAAGTTGTTACAACAAATTACAACCAACTGTGTGGCTTTAGACAATAGAATTTTTTTTATTGTTTCAGAACTATAGGCCAGAGAGATAATTGAGAGAGGGAGATAGATAAAGAAATCAGTTGGATGGATAAATGAATAAATAAATAAATAGAGAGATAGCCAGACTGATGCACAGATACATAATCACTCAGATAGTGGGTAAATGTGTACATAGGTAGATAAATTTTCCAATGTTCCAATGTGTGCTATCATCTCATTGCAATTTTTTTATTTTGCTCTAGGTAAGTTTTTATTAAATCAAGAATGTAATAAACTTTCCAGCTTTATTGTAATATCATGGACATATAGCATTCTGCAATTGTAAGGTGTCAGTGGATTGAACTGATGCCTTTATATATTGCAATATGCTACCACCTCAGCTTTAGCTAACAATACTGTTAAGAAGTCATGTAACTGCCACTTACTTTTTGTGGTGAGAACACTTCAGATACACTTCTTCCAGTATATGACACAGTCTTGTTAACTGTAATCACCAGGGTGTATGTGAGACCCCCCAGGAAGCGGTAATCTCATAACTGAAAGTTGATGCTCTATGACCAACTTCTCTCCTTTCCCCCAGTCACCATGGTTACCACCATTCCACTCTCTGTTTCTACACATTTGGATTTTATAGATTCCGCATATACGTGTGGTCATTCAGTATTGATCTTCCTCTGTGTGACCTGGCCGAGTTAACAAAATGCCCCCAAGATCAATTTATGGTGTCTGAAATGGCAGGGGTTTTTTTTCTTTATTTTTCTCGTTGACACTATTACAGATGTCTTTTCATCCTCCCGCCTTTGTCCACCTCCACCAAGCCCTCAACCCCCTGTCCTTCCAGCCACCACCGCACTGTTGTCTGTGTCTGTGGGTCATGCATGTATGTGCTTTGGCTGATCCCTTCACCTTCATCCAGCCTCCTCTTCCCTACACTCTGACTGCGCTCAGTCTGTACCTTGTGTTCCTGTGCTTCTGTTCCCAGTTTGTTCTTCATTCCTGTGGTTGACTCATATTCTGTTATATATATATTCAGATTTTGGAAATTTCCACAAATCGGATCATTATTAAAAAGGATTACTTTTTAAGGTGGCACCACACTGGGCTGACCCTTCAAATGCCAAGCGAGGGCAGTTCTGGGGAAATGACACATGTGGAATCTGATGCAGATGGGAAGGTTGGTGGGGATCAAGAGGGGGGTGGCATAAGTTTGTATTCATCTTTCAGGTTCATATCTAATTTTGCCCATTTATTGACTGATTGGTTCCAGGTTAAGTCCTGTGAACTGAGGCGAGGAAGACTTAATAATGTCCATCTGGTCATGTAATGATTAGACATGAAGAATATTTTATTAGCCCTGGCTGGTGTAGCTCAGTGGGTTGAGCATGGGCTGTGAACCAAAGGGTTGCTGGTTTAATTCCCAGTCAGGGCATATGCTTGGTGTTGTGGGCCAGGTCCCCAGTGGGAGTCATGTGAGATTCAACCACACAGTTGATGTTTCTTTTCCTCTCTTTCACCCTTCCTTCCCTTCTCTATAAATGTAAACAAATAAAATCTTTTAAAAATAATATTTTATTACATAAATGTGGAAGACAGTATGAAATTTTAGATGTGGGGGCTCAAACAGCCATGTGGGAAGGACCGTCATGCCACAGGGGTGAGAGAATAAGGGGGTCATTACAGGGAGTCGGCAAAGAGAAAAGGAGAGAAATAGGCATTTAATGGAGGAAGAGTCCTGCACAGGGAGCACTCGGACACTCCCGGCACCCAAAGCTTTTCCACCCTCTTGGACACATCAGCAGACAGTTTCCCCACCCGTTATCCAGACTGTCCTTCACCACCTCCTGGGTCATCAGATGGTCCCCGTGGCTCCCTTACTCTGAACAGTAGTACCCTTTCTCCTCTGTGTTCACATCCTGGCTGCAGTGTGGGTCTTCCTTTCACTATCGAAAGCCTCAAAGAGCAGCACCCCGAGGACCACCAGGACCAATCCAGCCAAGCACAAGTGGATGAGATTCCTCACTGTGTAATCTTGTAAATGAGAGGTTAGGAAATATAGGCAAAAAGGTCACAGAGGTCAGAGCAGACCAAAGTCACCCCAGGATTCAGGATGTCCACCCAGGACACCTGCCTCCTTCTGGCAGGACCTGGCCCTCTGCATCCAGCCCCACAACTGAGGATTCTCCCGCTCCCCACTCCTGGGGACTGAATTGTTCTGTGATGGGCTGATGGTGTCAGCTGCCCCTGAGGATCATGAAATGAGGGTGTGAGTGAAGACCTGGGGAGACATGAGCCTTTCTTCTGGGGTCTGTGCTCCCCGATGCCCTGCTTCTCAGACTGTAACTTGTACATGGTGGTGTCATGAGCCCAGACTCGACTCTGCCAGCTCCCTCTCTCCTCATTGGATAATCTCAGCCTCTTGTGGTCCCTGAACCTGCACAGATTCACTGTGGACCAGAGGTAACAGTGCCCCAGAGCTCAGGATTAGTAATAAATTGTCTCAGTAAGGCAGTTCTGCATTCTGGGTTTCATCTGAGAGGTAGACCCTAGAAGCTCATTTCCCTACAGCTGAGAGATCCACTAACTCAACAGCTGATGAACCAGGGTCCATGGATTAGGGGTTGGTGTGAGGGGCTCCTGAATTACCTCCTCTATGGAGCCCCTTAAATCCCTCCATTTATTACTGTTTCAGACTCTGAAGAAACATAGCTCTCTGCTGAGTGAGCTCAGAAAGGACAGGGTTCAGGCCATCTCACCTATGACCAGGATGGCAGGGTTCCCCCACAGCTTTGGGGAAGTGTGGTGTGAGCTGTAGCACCTGTCATTCCCCCAATGGGCTGAGGCCATGGGGCTCATGAAGAATTGGGAAAGGAGGGAATAGACTTACCCCTTCATGGCCAAAGGAAAGTGGACCTTGGGCTCCGTGGCTGACACAGAAGGGTCATCTACTCTCCTAAGTCCACTGTAGGACCAGGCTGGATAGAGAGGGAGGGTCTGTCAGGGAGCCACCCTGGTGGCAGGCTGAACTAGGGCTCTTCCTTCCTGAGCTGTGTGAGGCTCCTTATGTCACCTAATGTTAGCACAGGCCTGTGACCTGGAGGGGACCAGGGATGAGCAGACATGAACCTGACACTCAGAGAATAGAAGGAACTACCTCTCCCCACAGTAGGGGCAGCAGAACCAGAACCAGAACCAGGACTGATTCTAGCCCTCGTTCCCTCCTCTGAGCTGAACCCCTGACCTTAATAAAGGGCCTTAAGCCTAGACATTGTCCTGCTTGTCCCTCCCTGTACAGTGTCACCATCAGGGCTACAGAGGTGACAGTTCCCATAATACCACGTCCTGGGGTGCTTCCCTGTGAGGCCCCATCCCAGGAGGTCAGAACCAGAACTGAAAGTAAATGTAAGCTCTGGGCCACAATTCTCTCCTTTTACACTTGGAGACACTGAGGCACAGAGAGGGGAAGGGCGTGTCCAAGTCAGAGCCTCCAGAGGTGCCTGAACTTGCACAGGACTCAGCCCCCGTCCCCCATGAACACACCCACCACCTCCCCACAGAGACCCACACTTACTGCTCTGAGGCCTGAGTCTGAGTTGGGGAGGGAACAATCCTCAGAGCCTTCCGAAAATTCAAGATGAGGGTGAAGTGTGGTGGCTGCCTTCTCCCCACTTGATTCAGCTGTTTCTCCCCAAGCTGGGACCCAACATGTCCCTCTGTCATGCCCACCCCTCATGTCACCTGCCAGCACCAGAGCCCTAGGGATCTTGTGGTTCAGGCATCTCTGCCTGATTCCCAGCCCCTTGGGACACTAGCCCATCCCTGATTGTCTGAGGGACACAAGATCCCCTGATGTACCCTCAGAATTTCCCTGGGATGTTCTGTACTTTTTTTGGGCAAGTTCTCAGGGACTCACCAGCTTTGGGGATGGGCCCTGTGGGTGGGTGTTGGGGGCCTTCAGAGGGTCCTGGAAATAAGGACAGAAGGGGGTGAGGGTCTTGGAACAAACCTAGAGTTGAAAAATAACTCACATTCTTCTCCTACATCTACTTATGGAGAAATTCCATCTGCTCACACACCACCCTTTAAACCCAGGTGAAGGGGAGGAATGGGCAGGACTGGGAGGGTCTCTGGGGGCAGATCTCTGCTGGGTGACTAACACTCAGAGTTACTAAATCTCATCCAACTTCAGATGTCTCCTGGGGACAGGACCCTGAGCTGACTGTCCTCAGAGAGGATGGGGTCAGGGGCTCTTACCTGAGATGCAAAGTTCCAGGGGGTCACTGGGCTCAGACCACTCATTGGGATACTTTCTAAAATATCCATAGCATCTGAATGTCCACTTGTGGCTGGAGTTTATGGGGCCCACAGTGAACAGGCCCTGGACCTGCCCACTGAGGTTTGATTGTGTGTCCAGGGTCCAGGAGATGTTGTCTTCTCCTTCCTTAGTCAGAATGAACCTCTCAAATCCCTCCCATGAGTCACACTGGAGGGTCACATTCCCTCCTGAGGTCACAACAGGGCTGGGCAGGGCTGAGAGCCTGGGTTTGCTATAGAATCCTAGGAGAGAAGGAGGCAGTGTGTAAAATGGGGCTCACACCTCCCTTACCTCCCCCAAGGCTGAGCTGTAAGGGGGAGACACTCTGTGACATCCCCCTTTCTGAGGGCAGATCCTGGGGCTGGGACCCCTGAGTGTCCTCTCACCTGTCACCACCAGCTCCAGGGGGTCACTGTCCTCTGAGCAGCCTACAGAGCTGAGGTATTTACAATAATATCTCCCTGCATAGACCTTTTTCATAAAAAACTTGGCCTTGTCCCTGGGCTCCAGCAGTTTCTGTGTGTCCAAAGGTGTATTCATTTCTTCATCATACAGAGAATACTCCTGGGCATCCAGGGTCCCCTGACACCAGATAGTCACAGGGCTCCCATGAGGGATCACAGGTCCTGGCTCAGCCCAGATGGTGGGTCTGGGGAGAATCCCTGGAAAGAATCAGAAGCTGCATTAGACAGACCTTCCCTGCCCCTCATTCCCCAGCTCAGCCCATGTCCCCCCTCTTCTAACCCAGGACCTCTTGCTCCCTCCTGAACCCCAAGGGAAAAGTAGGAGGAGGGACAGGCAGCTTGGGGAGGACTCACCATTCTGCTCACAGGTTTTCTGGCCCAGACTCAGCCCTGAAAGAGAGTCCTTGTCAGATTTGCACCCGGATGTCTGAGCTGATTCCCTTAACTTGGGGCCTTATCTGCTTCCACTGTGCGAGCCTGAGGGTCCCCATGAACAAGCATGTGCAGCTGCCTCATCCCCTCCTGCTGCCCCATCCCCATGCCCCACAACTGACCAAGGCAGAGAAGAGCAGGGAGGATGGACATGGTGCCGTCTGCTCTGAGTGCTCCTGCTCTGCAGGTGGATGAGGCCCTGGGCCTGGAGGACAGAGATGCACAGGATGTGGTGAGTCAGGGGCTGCTGCCACCCTTCTGGGTTCCCACCCCTGTGGACCCACAGCAAGGGGATGGCCCCGCCCTGGGCCTGGCTCTGGGTTTTTCCATGACGAGGGTCCGGAGGACTCCTTGTCCTCTGGAGATGCTCAGCCCAGATCTTGGGTCTCTTCTCCCTGCCAGGACCCTCTACTTGGTCTGTGCTTCTGTCAGAGAGGGTAGGACCCAGGTTCTGATCCTCTGCCCACCCTCCACAGGCTGACTCTAAATGGAACTTCCTATTGATTTTCTCAGCCTCCCCAAACAGCATTTACTTTTCATCTCTGACTTGTCCACAGACAAATATTTACTAGTCAGCTAGTGCAGCCAAATACTTGTGTCAGAACCAGAAATACATCTGTAATCCAGGAGACTGACTTTCTGTGTCTTGAGAACTGTTCTTAGCAGAAAATGAGTATTCTAGGTCAAAAGTGGAAATGACTTTACTTATAAAGGAAAAATGAGAAAAATATGAGAATACCTGGGACCATCACTAGACTGTGGTTGAGGGAATAGCTGTTTTTTTTAATCCTTATCAAAGAATGTTTGTTGATTTTACAGAGAGAGCAAGGGAGAGACAGATAGATATTGATGAGAGAGAGAGAAACATTGATCAGTTTCTCCCAACTCCATACATATCCTGACTGGGGATTGAACTCACAACCTTTTGGTGTATGGGACAACACTCCAAGCAAGTAAGCCACCAGGCCAGGGCTAAGGGAAGGGCTGTTAGATGAGGTGGAATCCAGGAGGTGGGAGTGAGAATACTCTGGAGAGGAAAGAATATCATAGGGAAATCTAGAGACAGAGACTGTCTGATAGTAGTAAAGGGCAGGTTAGGTGGTGGCTAGTCATGGGCTGGCTCCCCACCACCTAAGGACAATGGATTAAGTGTGTGAGGGAAAGGCATACAGGAATGAGCTGTTACAGTCACACTGGGTTATGAATCTCATATGTGCCATGTGTCACAGAGGAACTAGAGCAGTGCAATGTGTGCAAATAATTTCTAATAGTAGTAATTGAAACTGCACTCCTGTATCCAACAATATTAGGTGAAAGACTTACATGGATTTAGCACACAATTGATGCATATTTTTTAGCTGTCACAACACATGTAGAGGAGTGAGCAGAGAAAATCTCAGTGTTACATCTTGTCCCATGCTTTTAGCTGGAGTCTCAGGAAGGAATTTACTAGTTCTATAGAACTCTAAGGAAGCAGAGATGGAGGAGAACAGATGATCAATACAAGATGGTGTTAGTGTGTCTGCCTGTGTGTGTAAGTGTGTATGTGTGTGAGTGTACATGTGTGAGTGAATGTCAGTGTACATATGTGAGGCTGTGTGCATATGTGAGTGTATCTGTGAGGTATATATGTGTGAGCCATGTAAGTGTGCATGGGTGAGTGTGATTGTGTGTGTGTATGATTGTGTGTTCACTGGTAACTACAACTGTCTGGTTGAGGGAAGCAGAAGGGACACCTGTGGTTAGAGGGTCACATGCAGATGATCATGAACAACCATCACCACTGTGGAAATTCTAAATTCACCCTAAAATCACTGAGGAGCATGGAAGGATATTGAGCAGAAATGGACAGATTCTGAGGGAAAGTTGGAAAAACTGCTGTGAGAGGTGGGCAGATAAACTGAGGGTGTGGGACTCAGAAAACCCAGGCAGGTGGTGGATGTGGCCACTTCAGGGGGGACATGAAGGGTGACCTTCCCTCCCTGCCTTGTTGACTGCAGACCCAAAGGAGCCCTTATGACAGGGAGCCAAGGGATGGGGTCAGGATGAGCCTGGGGTCTGTGCAAACACTCTGTTCCCACAGGACAGCTCAGTGCTTCCTCCAGTGGGGACTATGTCTCACAGTGTTTCCACTCTGTGTCTCAGAGAGAACTGGGCTCTTTCTCTGTCCCTCTCCTTGGGGTGAATCATTTGAGTCATTTCTTCCTCCTCAGAGCACCTTTGATGCTGGGTATCACCCTCCTCTTCAAACTCTGGAGACTATTCAGGATTCAGAAAAAATGTCATTCATGGGAGCTCTGTTAGAGGCAGACCAACAACCCCCACTCTTTAAATGTCAGTTGTTGCAACACCACATCCTGAATGGCTGAAGGACCCTGGAGCAGCCTGCTTCCTCTGATGCTCTCAGTTTCCTCATTTCTAGCCCAGTGATACCAACCCCAGCTCTATGAATGTGGAAGAATTCATGCTACTTGTGATTTGGGGAGAAAGGGAACCAGGCATTCAGATTTATTTTTTAAATTTTATTTATTTATTTATTTATTTTTAGAGAGAGGGGAAGGAAAGGAGAAAGAGAGGGAGAGAAATATTGATGTTGGTTGCCTTTCACATTCTGTCTCACTGGGGACCTGGCTCACAACCCAGGCATGTGTCCTGATTGGGAATTCATCTGGCAACCCTTTGGTTCACAGCATGTGCTCAGTCCACTGAGCTATACTAGCCAGTGAGGCTTTCAGATTTAGGTGGAGGTGCTGGAGTTTTGAGAAAGAAAAAAGCAGAGATACCCTGTTCAACAGAGCACAGGGAAGGATCAGACTTAAGCCACAGTGCAGAGTCATGTGATCATGACGAGACTCTCACAGTGCAGTGGGCAGCTCCTAGTCTTTCCACCACGGGTGCTGGGCCAGGTAGGGGGGTCTGTGGAACAAGGTGAACTTCACACTTGCCTCACCCCATAGATGAAATTGGTGCTAGATACATGACAGACCAGAGATTAAATTAATTCCTTTTTCCTTACCAAAAATGTAGAAAATATCTTTTATTTTCTTTGTGGGATGCTTTTTAAAAGCCATTTAAAATTGTTATTCTATTACAGTTGTGCCAATTTTCCTTCTTCTCCCTCCTGTGCCCATCCCACTCTTTCCACTCCCACAGATGATCCTCACACTCTTCCTCATGCACATGGGCCATTCATACATGCTCTATGACTAGTCTCTTTCCTTTTCCCCTCACTATTAACCCTCTCCTCTTCCCCCTTTAGTCACTGTCAGTCTGTTCCATGTTTCCATGCCTGTGGCTCTGTTTTACTCACTAGTTCATTTTGTTCAATAGATTCCTCTTATATTTGAGATTATGTGTATTTGTCTTTGACTGACTGGCTTATTGTTCTTAGCATAATATTCACCAGTTCCAAGGATGCTGTTGCAAACCGTAGGGGTTCCTTCTTTCTTTCTGTTGCATAGTGCTCCGTTGTGTAAATGTACCACAGTTTTTTGATACAATCATTGGCCTGTGGGCATTTAGGCTTTTTGCAGCATGTGGCTATTGTAAACAGTGCCGCTATGAAATTAGGGGTGCATGAGTTCTTCTGAATTAGTGATTTAGGATTCTTAGAGTATATTCCCATGGGAGAGTGGCTTGGGGTGTGTGAGGGAGGAGGGCAAAGGAGGAAAACTGGGTCAAATGTAAGGGAATAACAATAAAAAATAAAGTTAAAAGCACGCACACACACACAGGTCAGACAAGAGACACATCTCCATGAGCTCCAGATGTGGGGCGGAGCTGTCCACGACCCAGTGCTGAATTCTCCACCTCCTCTTGGGATTCACACACAAATAGGACAGAGTCAGGGGAGACACAGGTGGCCCATGGTTTTGAGGAAAGCCTCCTAGATATACGTGCACATTCCTGGTCAAGACTGGACTCTATCTTGGTCATCAGGACCTCTGGACAGTGGATGAGCTCTCCTGACTTGTGGATTCTGTGATAACTTTTGTGAATTTACTTTGCTGTGTCAGGTTGGTTCTGTTCTTACATTGGGAAAAGGGGTAAAGCCTCAGCAGACATTTTTTTATAGCAGAGCTTTGGATGATTTGTTTTTCCGTTGTTAAAGTGAAACTCAAGAGGCAAAGTGACAGGATGTGGTGGGCAGGGTCCCCACACCACAGTCTGTACAGGGCACAAGGTGCCTGTCACACAGGAAGAAGACCAGCTCTGCTCACCCTAAAAATAGCAGGTGCTGAGCGACTGACCCAAGCCACATTATTCAACACCCTTCGTGTCTAAAGTGTCTCATTTAATTTTGCTGAACTCCACAATCACAGGAGAATTTTAACTGCTCTTGCTGTTATTGGAAAGTCATAACAATTCTTCAGTCTATAACAATCAGTATTACCTGGCAAAGATAATATAGAAAATAGTTAACAATATAAAACTATTTTCAGGAGAAATATGACATCCCTGTCACTTAATATCTATTAGGCTTTATACCAGAGGCATATATTTTACTCCTTGCTGAACAGCATGGTTCTGCATTTCTAGAAGAGAAGAAAACCTATGAAGTCTGTTTTTTTTTGTTTTACTGAAGTCATTTTCACATATGAGTCAATACTCAGTTTCTTCCAAGAGAGAGGGAGAGAGTATTTATTATTTTGACAAGTTTTCCACAATAAAACACAACTAACTGGGTGGTATAAGACAGCAGGAATTAATTGCACTAGAATCCAGATATCAGAAAGGTTGATTATCAGATGTATATTTTAAACATGTGTATTATATACAATATCTATGTGTATGTAGACAGATACATAGACACACAGATGGTAGATAAAAGAATACACAAGTAGTTAGATTCACAAACATTTCAGCATTTTCTCTGCTCAACTCCATTACTTGTCCTGCTTTTTAGGTAAGTTGTTTTTATATAATTATTTCCAGCTCTACTGACATATACTTGACAGGTAACATTATGTAATAAGTGTTTTGTGACAATATGTGACTTAAATACATTTAAATACTATAAAACAATACCTTCTTAGCTTTGATAGGGGTTCAGGGTGGGATGGGAGGTGGAGAGAACAGAGGAAAAATTAAGACAACTGTAAGAGAATAACAATAAAAAATAAGAAAAATAAAAATGAGGTATGAGAAAAAAAGTCACCTAATTGTTACCGTTTGTGATGAGAATATTTGAGATACATTCTCT